GGTGGTTCAAGCTCACCAGTCACTCCTCGGAAACCCTGTTATATGGTCGTTATGGGTCGGATCCGACTCGATAGCACTTAACAACAACAACAACAACAACAACCAGAAGAACTGTGGACTACTAGAAGAATGGAATCCTGGTGTGATAAACATTGGACTGCAAGGTCAGTTTGAACCTCAAGGTCGGCAGTTCAAAGTCACCAGCTGCCCCTTGGAAACCACATACAGCATCACTCTGAGTCGGAACTGACTCCACGGCACACAGTCAGCAGTGGTGGCACCAAAAGAATAAACCTATTAGTCTTAGAAGAATGCAACCAGAATGCTCCTTCGAAGTGAAGATGAGAAGACTTCTGCTTATGTCTTTATTTTGGACATGTTATCAGGAAAGATCAATTGATAGAAAAGGACATTATGTTTGGTGATGTAGAGAGTCATAGAAAATGGAAGGACCCTTGATGAGATGGAATGACACTAAGGCCACAACATGAACTCAAACACACCAATGATCACAGGCAATGTTTCATGCTGTCATGCTTGAGGCTGTCTTGAGTCAGGACCCAACGCCATGATAGCCAACACCACCAAAGTCTTAAATGATCAAAATGCCCTTTGTTTCCCTCTGGGAATGAGGGAAGATGCTACACTTAGATATCATTGCTATACTTCTATGCCTGTGTCTTTCCTTGGGAAATTTGGGATAAGAGCCTCCAGGGTTATTCAATTTAAGAAGCACGCTATAGATCCATGCCTAATTTCAGAAAAAAACAAGTTAACTCTTATTATAAAGTCAGGGAATCACACTCTTGGGAAGCAGGACTTGCAGTGACATTCCTTGGGAAGACCTCATTGGTATGATAGCTGTAAAGCTCTATAGCATTTGGTAATAGAAATCAGAGACAGGCTCATGTTTGCATTGAGTAGAACATGTGGACCCCCGTTCACATTCTAATGATGGAAGGCAAATTAAAATTGATCATCAGGACCCATTGCAAGTCTTGATTTTTTTTTTTTTTCTTTTCAGTTTTTCTTGCACAGCATGTGTTAGTCTGGTACTAAAATGATAGGCACACCTTCCAAAGGCTGTGGGAGGATTTAGTATTAACTGCAGACATTCTAAGTCAGCGATCTCAAAGTGCCCAAACAGGAAACGATCATACAATTGCGTCTCCTTTGCTACGTGGATCCAATGCACCCTCCTGGTGCCAAGAGTTACTGTAGTATTTCACATTCTTAGATACCTTTTTGGAATCCAAGAAGTACTGTTACCCAACTTGTCACAGGATTCTCATTGATACAGATACTGATAATAAAAGGCAATAATGATGAAACCTACATAGAAAAGAGGTAGATCACTTAAACAAATGTCTTACAGAACTGAAATACAATGGAACCCTGGGAATGGCTCTAACTGCGTATTGTTTGGTATATAATTTTGTGTTTTGATTTTACCTTCATAAACACTATCTTAATGGATGTACAGTATTCTAGCCAATAAAACCACTGCCCTCTAACTGATTCCCTCTCATGGCAACCCTACAGAATAGAGCAGACCGGCTCCTTAGGCCGAACCTCGTTCTCTCTAGGAGAAACTGATGGGTTTAGTCCCTAGCCTTCTAGTTAGCAGCACTTAACTCACTTCAGCTACCAGGGCCCCTTATTCCATCAAATAGGTATAAGATAATTTACTCGCTTAATTGTGAATATTTAAATCATTTCCAATTGTTTTGGTATTGATCTAAATAAGGCTATATATTGTTATATATATTATGTTATATATTGTTATATAGGAAGTCCCTGGGTGGTGTAAACATTCAGCACATGCAGGTTAAAGGTTCAAGTTCATCCAAAGCACCTGGGAAGAAAGGCCTGGTGATCTAGTTCCAAAATACCAGTCACTGAAAACCTTCTGAAGCACAGTTCCATTCTGACACACTTGGGATTACCATAAATTGGGGTAGACTAGGGGGCAACTGGCTTCATCTGTTGCCCCCTTAATATAAATTCCATAAAGGCAATATCTCTAGGGTCTAGAGAACTATATGATACTCAATAAATATTTGTTGGATGAGTAAATATGCTCCAATCCTGTACTTATTAAAATCAATTTATATGTTCTTTTGAATAATGACACTTAAAACCACTTGCAATATCTGCAGCAAACATATTCCTAGATTATTTAAAAGCATTATGTTTTTGTACAAGTCAAAAGTTAATATATTTATATAACTAAGTTTTCCACTGTTATTTTTTTCCCATTTACCTGAGCTATCAAAATCTTTCTTTCATAATGAGATAAGATAAATTTCACCTGTGCATTATTGTAGCATTTTTATGGCTCAACTTTCGTTTTTACATAAAACTCTTCAATATATAAAGAGTTGATTTGCATATGTGTGATTAAAAAATGAAGCTCTAAATCGTTGGGGTTAATTTCTTTATAATCATACATACATACTCTGAGTTTCTGTTGCTGTTATTGACATTGGATTTTAAAACAATCGTTGTTGTTGTTGTCTGGTGCCACCAAGTTGATACCGTCTCATAGCGACCCTGTGTACAACAGAACGAAACACTGCCCAGTCCTGGGCCAATCTCACAATTGTTGCCATGCTTGAGCTCATTGATGCTGCCATTTTGACAATCCATCTCACTGGGAGTCTTCCTCTTTTTCTCTGACCCTCCACTTTACCAAACATGATATCTTTCTCTAGTGACTGGTCCCTCCTGACAATATGTCTGAAGTATGAGAGATGAATTTTGGCCATTGTGACCTCCAAGGAGCACTCGGGCTGCACTTCTTCCAACACAGATCTGTTGGTTCTTTTGGCAGCCCATGGCACTTTCAGTATTCTCCTCCAACACCATAACTCAAATGCATCAATTCTTCTTCAGTCTTCCTTATTCACTGTCCAGCTGTCGCATGCATATGAGGTGATTGAAAATATCATGGCTTGGGTCAGGCGCACCTTAGTCCTCAAGCTGACATCTTTGCTCTTCAACACTTTAGAAAGGTCTTGTGCAGCAGATTTGTGTAATGCAATACATCGTTTGATTTCTTGACTGCTGCTTCCATGAGTGTTGATAGTTGACCCAAGAAGAATGAAGTCCTTGACAACTTTAATCTTTTCTCCATTGATAAGAATGTTGTTTATTGGTCCGGTGGTGAGGATTTTTGTTTTATTTACATTGAGATGCAATCCATACCAAAGGCTGTGTGCTTTGATCTTCATCAGTAAATGTTTTAAGTCCTCTTCACTTTCAGCAAGCAAGGTTGTATCATCTGCATATTGCAGGCTGTTAATGAGTCTTCTTCAATCCTGATGCCATGTTTTTCTTCATATAACCCACCTTCTCGGATTATTTGCTCAGCATACAGATTGATTAAGTATGGTGAAAGAATATTACCCTGTCGCACACCTTTCTTAATTTTAAACCATTCAGTGTTCCTAAATTTTCATAGGAGCACGGTGGCTCTGTAGGATAAGCACTGGACTGTGAACCACAAGGTCAGCAGTTCAAGCCCATAGGAGAAAGATGACACTTTCCACTCCTGAAATGATTTACAGCCTTGGAAACCCTGTACAGGGTCACTATGAGTTGAAACTGACTTGACTGCACTTAACAAAGATAGCAACATTTTCCTCTTACCACTCATAGGAGTCAATTCTCATTGGCTGTTTCCTGCTTATCTTTGAGTTATTTTCAGCACCGTGTTTTAAAGGCACTTTCCAATAGGGACTAAATATTCTTGGGTTTGTTTTTGTCATGGCTACAACCGCTGAGACAATATATTGTAAATATTAGGAGATAAATGGGAAGTTGAGCTCCCAGACTGGGAATACTGAGGATTGTAGCCAAATCTCATCTCGATGATTTGTCTGGATCCCCTTACCAAGTGTGTTCATGATATTTGCCAAATGACCCCTGTCAACTCTGATCTGTAATTGTTGCTTGATCTGTGGGTTGCGTCACATTGAAGCAAATATTCCAACAACCAACTGCCTTTCTCCTTTTGTTCGGTTTTCTCCTTCCCGTAGTTGCGGTCCAGCACGGAGCTCCACCCGGACCTGCTCTCGGATTGCCTCACCGTGCAGCCCCTACAGCCAGCTGCTTCCCCACACGACGCTGCTGCCGAGGGGGCTGTGGGATGCTCCCCAGGGCCCGGGCCTGACCTCTATCCAGGTAACCACAGTAAGAGAAGCCCAACTCCATCCTCTGCAGCCCGCAGGTTCTGCACTCTGGAAGAGCTCATGGGAGGAAAACTCTCCCTAAAGCCATCTGCATTGTGCTTTATGTATGTCCTGCAAGATCAGAGCCAGAACTACTAACCCCAAGGTCAGCAGTTCAAGCCCATCAGCCACTCCTCAGGAGAAAGATGAGGCTTTCTGCTCCCATAGAGATATATTTTTAAAAAGCATTTATTATGAATTGAATGATAGTTTACATGGCAAAACATTGATTTTGCACTCATCCTATCATGTTTTGTTTCATTGCAATGATTACAATCCCTTCCATGCATCATCATTTTAACAGTATCTGCTTCTACTCCCTCTGTGTTTTTTTGTTTGTTTGTTTGTTTTGGGTGGGGGTGGGGTACACAAAGACGCTCAGGAATATATAGTCATTGAAACAACCAAAGGGCATTCTGCAAGACTGCCTCCTGGCCGCCAACACACAGTCTTTCTCTTTCCATGAGTCTAGAGTCCTCAGCTGCACTCTCTCTCTCCATGTCCTCATCTCTGCCTCCATCTCTGGTGTCGCAGCTTCTCTGATTAGGGTCCCATGTTCCGTTCATGCTCTTCTCTATTGATGGTCCTAGGGTCCTCTGTTCCTGGAATGTATAATTATCTACTCCCCCTTTTATGTTACAAAACTTCTACCTTTACAGTTGTGACAGTCACAATTAGTCATGATAACAATTACTCACAACTGAATTGTAAGAATCTTATCCCCATCTCCTTTCAGCAGACCCATCTAGACAAAATGAAAATTCTTCAGTGAGAATTCTACTTTTCCCAGCACACTCTGAAACTAAACTCCCTCTTGAAAACTTGTAAGCCAGTCACTTCATGCCTTTATAGCCCTCACATTTTAGGTAGCCAATGTCTAAGTTGCCTGTCCTTATCAACCTGTATACCAAGGGGATAGGCTTGATCTTTTATGTGAAGACTCCTTCCCTTTCAGTTGGTATTTTGAGCTACTACATCCATAAGTATAGATCAAGTTCATCAAATTGTAGCAAGTTACTCTTACTTCCTTTATCAAATTTCTTTATCCTCCTCTAGTTGAGCTCTGGTCATCAAGTCATTCCTAAAGAGATTTACAGCTTCAAAAACCCTACACAGGGTCTGAGGCAGAACTGACTCAATGGGAGTGGGTTTGGGCTTTTTTGGGTGGGGTGCAAGCAGTCCCTAGGTTCTGCAAATGGTTGATGAGTTTGAATGCTAACCGTAAGCTTGACTGGTCAAGACCACTTAGAGGTGCCTCTGAGGAGAGGTCTGGTGATCTACTTCCAAAAGTTCATAGGCTTGGAAACCTTATAAAGTAGTTCTACCCTATATATTGGTGTGGCTCTGTGGGTTAATGCGCTGGACTGCAAGGTCGGTTTGAACTGCAAGATCTGTGGTTCAAGCTCACCAGCCGCTCCTCAGAAACCTTATACAGGGTTGCTATGGTTCAGAACTGACTCGATGGCACTTAACAACAACAACAAAACACTGCATACGGAATTGACTCAACAATAAGCAACCACTAATAAAAGCACAGGCTGCAAGAAAACCCTGGGTCATGCAAATGGCTAACACACTCAACTGCTAACCTTAAATTTGGCAGTTCAAGTACCTCCAAAGAAAGTCCTGATGCTCTGCTTCCTTGAAACCAGCCATTGGAACCCATATGGAGCACAATTCTATTCTGATACACATGAGGTTGCGAGGTGTCAGAATAGACTCAACAACCACTGGTTTAATAGACGATTTATAAGAAGCCAGCAAGTGATAGTTTGCATAACCCCGAGAGTCTCAGAGAAGATAAGATACAGTCTGGCACAGGGCAGTCCAGCATGCCACATCAAGTGGCCACTTCCTTTATGGAACACAATTTTCAGGTTGATAAGATGGAGCTTGATTGAAAAGGATTTCCTGAAAAGACATTGATTTCTGTGGAAGAAAATACCGCTTTCGGTTAAGGCATTACCACTTCAGACTATGCTGAGGACAATTTGAAATTGAGGTGTTTACATCTTTACTGTTCTGAAAATCCTGAGGCTCCCCAAGCCCGGCTCCCAAGCTAACCTGAGTGTCATTTAGTGATCTAACAAGGTGTCCATGAGCAGTTCTCAAGAGGGGCTCATTGTGTTTCCTGCTCTTGTGCTCAGAGGTCCTATACTAGTCCCAGGGCATCCTGTACCTGTAGGCAACTTATCTGCTTATAGAAATATTTCTTGCCCATGGACCATGGTATAAATGCTTTTTCCCAGGCTTATTGCTTTCATAGATCTTCTAGTCAGCTCCTAGGATAAGCTAATGAAGCAGATAAGTCCATGGTTAGAGAGTCTGTAGGAGTATGGACAGCCTAGGTCAGTGCCTGATAGCAGGTGTCCATCACGAACAGAGAATGTTCTCAGGAAGAACATCTGTCCCATGGACGCTCATAAAAATTCCAAAGTGAAACTGAACTACAGAACTAATCAGACATAACCTTTGCAAATGACCCAAAAACATATCAGAAGCCCTTGTGATTGGGATGTTTGAATCTTGGGACTTTTGTTGCTAAGTGCCACTGAGTCGGTTCCAAAACATAGAGACCTTGTGTACGGTTTCCAAGAAATGGCTGGTGGGTTTGAACCATTGACCTTACTGTTATCTGTCCTGTGCTTATCTTACACATTGTTGTCATTGTTACGTGTCATAGAGTCAGTTCCAACATATAGTAACCCTATATAGGGTTTCCAAAGACTGGCTGGTGGGTTTGAACCACTGGCGTTGTGATGACCAAAATGAGGGCATTTTATCTGTTCCACCCCCACTGGATTATGAAATAATTAGCATTATTTTAGAGCTTACAAACAATGTTGAGTGGTTCCAGTTGTGAATGTAACTTTATACTTTTCAGAAAAATGGAAGTGGTTTTGTTCAACTGTTTTAGGGAATTGTGGAAGAAAACTAAAGATTTGGTCTTAAGAGCAGGCATTTTTGAAATCATGTTGCTAGGAGGTAAGAGTTTGTTTCTTATACTTTCTGTAGTAAGTATTGTTGTTGTTACTTGTCATAAGGTTGGCTCTGAAGGCGGTGACCTTGTGTACAACCGAACAGAGCATCACCTGATGTACCACCCATGATGGATGGTGTGTTTCAGTCCCTTGCTGCAATATGGTGTCTTCCCATCGCACCGAAGGGTTCACTCGTTTTTGCTGACCTTCTACTCTATGAACCATGATGTTCATTTCTAGCAGTTGGTCTTTTCTGATGAGTAAGCCAGCCGGCTGAAGACTTACCATCCTCACATCTCTGGAATATTCCTTCTAAGATTGATCTATTATTCTTCTGGTAGTCTACAGTGTATTCATGTTTTTGTTGTTAAGTGCTTTTGAGTCAGTTCTCACTCATAGTGAGAGTAGATTCTGACTAACAACAACCCTGTATAGGGTTTCTGAGACTGAATATCTTTCTTTCTGGTGGGCTCCAACTGCCAACCTTGTGGTCACAGTCCATTGATTATCCTAAGAAGCCATCATACTCCTTATATAATAATTTGTTACTGTTGTTATTAAGTGTCGTCGAGTCACTTCCAACTCGTAGTGACCCTGTATAGGGTTTCTGAGGAGCTATTGGTGAGTTTGAACTGCCAACTGTGCAGTTAAAACAGACTTTGTTGTCCATTGCATTAATCCACAGCACCACACCTGTGTTAAATCCACACAAGATTTAATGTATTTTCTAAGGTAGTGACTCGTTTTAATGTAAGCTTATGTATACATTTTAATTTTTATACATTTGTTGCATTCATTAAGTTGAGAATATTTGCTGTCTTGGGACAACTTGCAGAAGTGTAAGTGTTAGAAATAATTTTTCTTATGAAAGTAGAAGAAAAATTAGTACAGTGTGATCTCTAAGAGTGGTCATTAATTGAAGGATTTTATTAGAGGATTCCAAATGTGCATTTATACATTTTCCTATAGATTAAACTTTATACAAGAATTGTGAAGATCAAATAATACGATCTATATAAAAATCTTTATAAAAAGGCATAGAGTAGTATAAAAATGCAGTCATGTTACTTGCACTATCCTCACAATTACTGCTTTTCCTGGATCTCTCCAGATGTGAAAGGAGACAGATAAATTTGGATGTGATGGAGGAGACAAGAGCAGACGGAGATGGAACTTGAGAGACAAAAGCAGATTTGAGAGGAAGCGTTTATCAGTGCACCTCTGTGACATCTTTTTTAACATCTGCTGCCCTGTCTCTGTGGCACTTCTTGTCTCTAACTGAATTGGACAGTCAATGAAGGTAGAAGTAAAACTCATAGTTTCTTGTTGTAGACTTGCTTGGTTACTAACTTAAAGGAGTCCTGGTGTGGCGCTGTTTGCTAACCACATGATTGGTGGTTCCAGCCCATTAGACATTCCTTGGAAACCCTGTACAGGGTCGCTATGAGTCGTAACTGACTCCACAGCACTTCACAACAACTATAACTAACCTATGGGTTGGTGGCTCAAACTCAACCAGCAGCTCCATGGAAAAAATCACATGACCATTATCTTCCATAAAGACTGGAGCCATTCTACTGTGTCCTACATGGGGTCACTATGCGTTGGTAGCAGAGTCCCTAGCTGGAATCTCTGGGCAGCCCAACCAGTTAAAGGTTGGCAGTTTCAACATCTCCCCCAGATGCACTTCTGAAAGGGCACAGTCACGGGGAGCCCAGTGGAGCCCAGTTCTGCTCTGACGCCGATGAGGTCACCCTGATGTGGCAGTGAGTCACTGGTGCGTGATTTACATGAATCCTGAACGTCTCCTTTAATGTGCATTCAGGCACCGGGAAGTCTTGTGAAAACGCAGGGGGACAGGGCCCGACTCCCAGAGTTTCTGATTCAGCAGGTCTGACTTTGTCCCAAGAATTTGCATTTCTGCCAGGAGTGTCTAACAAGTTCTCAGGTCGTGTTGGGTGATGCTGGTCCA